TCAAATCGAATACAAAAGGTTTAATCTTTGTATAAAATACAATCTAATATGTTTTTGTTTTTACAAAAATCTACTTTTCGTTATCAAAATTGCAGATCGAGCACAAAAAAATCAACCTGGGTATCAAAAGTCGAGTTAAAATGAGAAGTTTTTTTTTTAAAATAAAATTATTATTTTTTCTGAAAAGTGAAGACCGCACACGAAACATTTCATTTTGTTGAAAACTGATAAACGATCTAACAAAATTGTACAAACATATGAAATCAAAATAATTATAATTCGTAAAAAAATAGGAATACATAATACAAATATAAACTATAAATATATTAACTAATTACATAATTTCAGTGTGCTAAGCCAAGATCGGAAATGATACTTGAGCTATAAAGCATAACTAAGTAAGAAAATCGAACTTCATGTCTTAAATTCAACAAGAATCAAAAATTTTGAAGATGAAACATGAGGAGAGGAAAGAGTGAAGCGGCGCAAATGGCAAGCCTAAACCTAATGCCGACAAAATGCTATTATATGGCCGATTTCACACGTGCATTTTGGTTAATTATTGTCAACCGTTCGATCTTTTTTTTTAACTGAATTGTATTTGGGCTCTCTAATAGTGGGTCGTTTGCAATAAAAAAAAAAAAAAAAGAAATTACACCATGTACAACATATATCACTTTTTATTGCAAAATTATCACATGTATAACATTAATTACAAAATTACTAGATATATAAAAAATAATTAATTTAAGCATGCAATTAACTGATGTCATGATCGTTCCATTATTATATAATTTTAATTTAAAAACAAAATTGCCATTTAAAAAGACAGAAATAATAAAGCCCGTGCATCGCACGGGGACTGTACTAGTAGTGAGAATACAACGTCTTGTCTCATGATACAACGGCAAAATCGAGCAAACTAAAATTATATCTGAATCAAAACACTACAAAAGAAAATTGAAGAAAAAGACTAACAATTCCTTTTGTTTTAATTTCTTCTTTTTATTTGTAATAAGACTCAGCCAAATGCTCTATTTATAAGGTCTAAGAGCATCTCCAAGAGCCTCCCTATTTCTCTTTTTTATCTCAAAAATAGGGATTTTCTCTCAAAAATTGTCTCCAACAGTTCCCATAAACTTGGTCTTATTTTTAGGGTGACCTCAAATAGAGGTTTCTCTTCCTCATTTATGGGGAGGGAAAAACGACCCCCCATTTCAAATAATAATAATAATAATAATAATAATAATAATAATAATAATAATAATAATAATAATTTAAAAAGAAATAATATTATATTAATACATGAAAAAATATAACAAATAATTAATAATAAATTACTAATAATAATAATTAAAATTAGAAAATTAAAAAAATACAATTGTTCAAAAAAATAATTTATTTGATTAAAAATTAATAAATTATAATAACAATTAGTATAATAATAATAATAATCTAAAAAGAAATAATATTATATTAATAAAGGAAAAATTATAAAAAATAATTAATAATAAATTACTCATTATAATAATTAAAAAAATTAGTGAATATTATAAAATTAGTTAATTATTATTATAATCGTTAACAATTACAATATCAAGTGGGCTTCAAGTGGGCTTTTAGATAGATTTGTGGGCCTGGTTCATATTCAAATTATAAAATAGGGAGACTCTTGGAGAACAACAGAAAATATGAAGCAAATGAATATAGGATGACTCCTTATTTCTCCAAGTAATAAGTCTAAAATAACAAGTCTCTTGGAGATGCTCTAAACGATTAATAAAAACCAAAGCATTAACTCTCACTCTTTAAATAAAATAAGTCAACATACTTAACATCTTGTAACATTAAAATTAAAACCAAGGTACAAATTAATTTGCAAGATCAACAAATTACCAGCGTTAAGTTTTCTTTTTTTTTTAAAAAAAAAAATGATAGAATTCATTACTAGAACATATAATTGCAACCGACTCATTAGATCAATGGAGAAGGCCTACCAAAGATAACTTAGATGCCACAAAACAACACTACAAACACACAACAAAACTCCCCAACGAGAAAATATACACATAAAGCAGAGAAAAAACATAAACTCACACTCACGACAAAATACAAACAAAGCAATAAGAAACACAAAAATAATTAAACTAAGCCCTTTTCATAACACGAATGTAAACAGAACAAAAATGACTCTGACACCCACGGACAACCACCCACACGGACAGAGACCCGACCCAAGTCGCTAAGTCAGAAACTGCAGAATAAATGCTTAATTAGATCAGAGACTAAAGGACCCTGCCCCACTGGGGTAGACAACCCCTAGACCCGCAACCGGAGATCCACAACATACTCCACCATCCCCGCACCCACGACTTTGGTCCAAGACACGAGACTCGACCCCGACTCTAAGCAGAACATTTAGAAGAAGGGAGGGAAGCAAAACAACCCGATCTCAGCACTGCCACCAATGGTAATGATGAAAGCCACCACCCTTTGTTGCAGGCTTGTCGGAAACTCTCCATCGCGCAGACGTCGTGGAATTGTCGATCAAGACCCTCATTAACGACCTAAAAGGAGGCGAAATCCAAATTTGTCAAACCTGCCGTATTACCCGAAGGATATGAAGCCACTTGTTCGATGACTCTTCGAAATTCGGACGCACATCCCAGTGATGGCTGCCATCGAAATGTCCTGGAGGCCTTGCTAGGGGAGGGCGCGCTGCTCAGCCGATTGACCAGCAATGGTACAAGATTTAAGTTCAGTCACAAAATTTTATTCAATTAATTTGGTGCAGGAGAAATTTAGGAAACTGGATATATCTGAAGGCAGCGATTCAGCAGGGCGACAAGCCAAAGTAAGACGAAGGAGTCGGCATTTGAATATCACAGGTAAGATTAAACATTTTTTTTGGAGATGTTACAATGATATATTACATGTTTGTTGTAATTTGATGAGAAGAGGAATGCT